CCTGGGAATCATGGTACAGCAGTCAGTAAGACGCCAGTGGTCAAGCCTGAGGTCTCTCTGGGGACAACTGAAAATGACAGTCCTGGACTAGACGTGCCACCGCCAGCCGAGGGGACCAGCACCTCCGGTTCACTCCCTGCTCCTAAAAAGCCTACAGGGTAACCCCGTGTGTTTATACATAGCATTGCATTTAGAACAGCAGCTTGTGAAGTGCCCTGTCTTTGTTTTGTCCATGTCTTTATAGCATTTCTGAGAGAGGCAACAGAGCCCAATTCACAGTTTCTATGTTAGATACAGAGACCAAGGCCTAGAGACATTGATTTGCCCTTTCTCCTATACTCTGCTGTCTTTTCACTACTATCTTGGTCCTTATACATCTCTTCTTGTCAGTCTCTCTAAAGCATTTATTGTAAAGTCTTGCTAGTACAGACTGTGGGCAGTGTTACAGACCTAGTATCCAATCCTGGCTTCTACATTTGGAAAGAGAGGCATTATTAAGGGATCTTATGTAAAGATTCCTGTCCTGGTGGTCAGAGAACTAAATTCTGATTGTGACTTTCCTGGGCTTCTATTTGACTGGGCACAGTAACTTCATACTGATTCTCCCCCCTCTGGAAAATTTTGAGTTGGGTCGTCTTTAAAAAAAAAAAAAAAAATCATATCTTCAGTGCCTGACCTTACTGCCTGAAAAAGATCACATGTAAAGCTTTCAGATAGGAGAAGTCCGTAAGTATGGGCTGTTTTTCCTCCCTTTTTTTAGAGGTTTAACTGGATGCTCTATGTAGCTGCTTTCCAGAGGCAGCTATCATCTTACAATGGAAATTCCTTATTTGTTTATATCAGTGGTACTCAAAGGGGCACAGTGCCCCAGGGGACATTGTGGCAATGTTTGGACATTTTTGGTTGATACAGTTGGGGAGAGAGTGCTACTGGCATCTACTGATAGAAGCCAAGGATGCTGCTAGACATCCTGCACTGCCCAGGACAGCCTCTTGTGCCAGAGAATTATTTGGCCCAAAATGTTAGTAGTGTCATGGTTTAGAAATTCTGGTTTATATTATTATGATGAAATTTTTTATTGTTGAATAGAAAATATACTTAGTTCAAACTCCAAGATGTAAGAAATATATCCTGAAAAAAAAATCTTTCTGTCTCATCCTTCAGTGCTCTGTTCCCATTTACCAGAGACAATATTCCCAACTTTGTGTTTTTAGAGATAATTTTATATTATATATAAACAGATATATGTATATCTGTATATATAAACAGATAGTAGTGTGTTTGTGTATTTATAATAGTATTAAGTTTTTTAAGTCAAGATATTAAAATATGTATATTATGCTAACATTTGTGTAAAGAAAGTGGAAAAAATATATGTGATGTATGTACATACAGAGTTAACTCTTGAACAAACATGGACTTGCATGGTGTGGGTCCACTTACATAAGGATTTTTTCCAGTACATACATACTATTGTACTACGTGGTGTGCAGTGGGTTGAATCTGCCAGATGGGGAACTCTGGATGTGGAGGAAGGGCTGTGCAGTTATCACTGAGCTTTTGAGTACGTGTAGGTCAGTTCCCCTAATACGTGCTGTTCAAGGTCAGTTTGTGTGTGTGTGTGTGTGTGTGTGTGTGTATTTTCCCCCCCACCTTTCTTTACACAAATGGCAGCATAACCTACATACTTTGACTCATTGCCTTTTAAAATTTAACAATATATCAATACTTTGAGATGGTTCTGTGTCCTTAGAGAAGGATGCTGTGCACTTTTGCTTTGGGCAGCTGAAGCACTTTAGCCAAGGTGTATTGAGGCCTCCTATGGACAGGCTTTATGCTCAAATTGGAGCTACAGAGATGAAGAAACATGGACCTTGTTCTCCAGGGTCTCTCAGCAGTCCTCATGTGGGGGACTGATATACTTTAAATACTTGAGCTGACTGGGGGTGGATTAGATGTTATAACTACATTGGCTGTTGATAATTCCTCACTGTAGGCACGGTTTTGCATGTTTTTAAAATCTTCATAATGACTCATGAAGTACCTGTAATTACTTTCCCATTTTACATATTAGAAATTTGAGGTAAACAGAAGTGAGATTTCTTGCCTAGGGTTACAGAGCTACTTAATGGTTTAATTAATGTCTAAAGTCTGACATTTTAACCAGGACGGTATTCCTCTAATAAAGTGCTATCTGGAGATAGCATTTTGATTTTCTTCCCTTTGGTCTGGAAATTCTAGGAGAGTTTCCTTCTTTTTTTCTCTTTTTTCAGAGTTGACCTGCTCACTCCTATGCCCAGAGCCCCAGAGCTTAAAGGCAGAGCACGGGGCAAGCCGTCATTACTGGCTGCAGCAAGACCCATGAGAGCAATTCTTCCAGCCCCAGCTAATGTGGGCCGAGGCAGCAGCATGGGACTGCCCAGGGCCAGGCAGGCCTTTCCTCTGAGCGGTAAGGTCTGGGACAGACCTGGGAGGAGGGACTGTTGAAAGGGAAGGGGGCAGGAGTGGGGGTTGAGCATGGAGATGAGAGACTTAGGGCGACTCTGAATTCACTTAAGTCACCAGTTTGGCTCCTGGTTGTCTCAGATAAGACTCCCTCTGTGAGGACTTGTGGCCTGAAGCCAAGCACGCTGAAGCAGCTGGGCCAGCCCATCCAACAGCCATCTAGCACTGGTGAGGTGAAGGTAAGACCATTCCCCAGAGGGGGAGCTCCCTGGGGGGGCTGGCTGCTCTGAGTACAGGGCTTCCATTGAGTGTCTCAAAGCCATAGGCAAAAAGCCCCCATTATTACACTGGTAGAGCTCTGGGAGTAGGTTTAGCATGAATGACATGTCTATTTTTTAATTTCTTGTTATATATACTTTTATTAAACGATTTAAAACAAAAGTTGTAAGAATAAAAGTAGTACAAAGAGCACCCATGCACTAACGTCACGTACTGTTAACATATTAGCCCATTTTGCATTATTGTTTGTGCTCATGTATCTTCCCCATTGTGTGTGTGTGTATTTAAAATAGGCATAATTTAAGGGTAACATGGCCTTTTACTCTTTAATGCTTAATTGTGCATTTCCTAAAAAATAGAGGTATTTTGTTACTGAATGAAACATTGATATTTTTTCATTTGTATTCAAATTTTGTCAGTTTTACCCAGTTAAGTCCATTATAGCCTTTTCTACTTCAGTACAGGATCTGGTCTAGGATTAGATACTGCATTTAGTTGTCATATCTTTTTAGAAAAAAATGAATGCATGATTGCTATAGAAAATTCAGGTAAGGCAGAAAGAAAATAAGTCTTAAGATCCTGTCACCTAGAAATAACAATTATTGACAGTCTGGTGTGTACTATTTCAGCCCTCAAGTCCTTTCCTGCATTTTTCTGTTTATGTTTTAAATGTAATCTTTTAAACCTAAAAGAATGGCTCTTTCTCCATATACTGGCTGCTTGTTCATTCGCCACGTCAAGTCCAGCTCTCCACAATGCCATGGACCGCACCGCGCCAGGCTTCCTTGCCCCTGACTGTCTCCCAGTTTGCCCAAGTTCATGTCCATTGAATCAGTGATGCCATCCAACCATCTCATCCACTGGCTTGTAACCAGTATAGTTCATTCCATTTAATTATAAAGCTGTTAAAGATTTATTACCAGGTGTCAAAATTGCATGTGTTGAAGCACATTTTTTTTTAGATTTTTTTGTTTTAGTTCTCTTTGCCATATGTGACCTGAATATGATCAAAATTCCTTAAATCAGCACTTTTCTGAGCATGCCTGTCAGTAACAAACACATTTCTACATCAGTAGGCATATACATACAGCTACACATTAAAAGCTTAATGAAGCTATGCCCATATTAAATGCAGTCATTTTTCCATTTCTTTTTCAAAATCCTGATTTCAGCCCATTAAATTAATTTCATGACCCCTCAGTTTGAAATTGAAAACCCCAAAAGGGACCGAATTGGAATAGAAATATCAGTCTGCCTTCTCCCTTGCCCTGTGCTGTCAGGTAACTGCTTTTTTGTGATAGTTCTAAATTTGTCCCAACAAGGGTATCAGCCAGCTTCTACTTTGAAGGTTGATCTTTTTTCACCCAGTAGTGGTGACACCTCTGGGTGCATGTGTGATCTTTGAGTATAGAAGAATAGTAATGAGTCTGCTTCAGCTACTTCCTAGATCTCCAGGCCTAAGAATCCCTTTATGTGTATAAATTGCCAGTCTCCTCTGTAGTTTCCTTCTAATTTGCAAATTCGGTATTTGTAAAAAGCCATAAGTGCTCTTGCTAGTAGTCTTAAACCAGTTAAGTTGCATGAGGTCTTATATTCTGAAAATTAAATTATTACAGAATAGTAATTTTTAATTTAGAATGCTTTCTTCATCTTTTTTGCATTTTGTGTAGAACATTTGAAAATTTTATAGCTACTGGTAAAATGGGAAACAACCATTATCTTCCCCTCAACCTGTGACATTTTAGTGACTAATCTTTCAGACTTCATTTTTTTTTTTGAAATTTAAAGAAAAAGTTTATTGAAGATCTGAAAAAACAATTTCTAAAAGATTAACTTTTCCAGAAAACTGTAGCTACACAATGCATTGCATCTATCATGTTAAAACGTGCATTAGACACAAATACAAAAAGCCATGAAACAAGCCACCATTCTTCAACAATCTGAGCAAAGATAAAATGCCTAAGGAACAGCATGGATGGATGACTCGCAAAGGATGGGCTCTTTACTTTAAGCACCATAAAAAAAGGGGGGGAGCACAAATGGATGAGTGTTCAGTTATATACACTGAATCGAACCTTTGGCACTAGGAATCAGAGCATTCTGTCATATAGCATTAACACATATTATAAAAGTGCGTAGTGTCAAAGGAATAGAAACCACCAGCATTCAAAAGCAGCTTTGTCAACGAAGGAATAAAACACTCTACAGTATGTCTCTCTGTTGTCCATCACTGAATACACTGGTAGCAACTTTGAAATGAAAAAAAGGAAAGAAAAGGAGCTGTAACTCCTTTTATTTTCTCTGTTTAAAATCAAACAGAAAACAAACATCAATTTTGTTATACACGAACATTTCCAAAGTACATTGTTTGTACAAGAGAAGGACTAAGAAACAAAAAGGGGTTTACAGAGATCAAACATAGGTGGGTGCATGCGCCTCACACGGCTTTCCGATGGCACTCAGGGGGAGCCACTTCATAATCACTGGCACTAAACAAAGTTGCAGAGTTCTTTGCCAAGTATTTTAGGAAATTGTGAAGATAATTCAGTAATAAAGCAAGGCTCTTCTCATCCAGAGGTGTATAGGCCAACATTGCTCCAATTCGTACAAACAGTCTCAGGAGATGTGGCGCCCTGTACACCTGGGACATGGGTGCATCAGGGTGGTCTGCAAGGATCTCAGCGTACTGCGGCCTCTCAAATTTGTAGAGCAGTTGAGTGCCCAACATCACATTGAAGTATTCCTTTATCCCGGCCACAACCTCATTGACTGCATACTCCTTATTATCTGTGTCTCCTCGAGATTTCTTGTAATTTGTATAATCCTCTAGGGTGGAATCCACGTTCTTCTTGGCGGGAAGATAGAAGAGCTGTTTTTCCGGGTAATTAAGTCCCAGTCATCAACAAGCCATGGCTTCAGTTCTTCAGGAATCTTGATTTTAACTTCAACTCTGCTCATAAATATTTCCTCATTTTCAACAGTAGGATCTACTCGAGCCCTTTTCTTGCGAGGAGGCTGAGGTGTTTCACTAGTGCTGCCACCATCTCCATTTCCAGGTGTCTTTTGTTTGTTCTTTTTCGTTTTCACTTCAGTTTTTTTTTTGTTGTAGCCCAGCAGTCTTCTTTCCAGGGGCAGCCCCTCGCATCTTCCCCTCTGTATACTGCTCCTGATTGGCTTTTTGAAGTTCTCTCTGTTTTTGTAAATTGGTATCCACATACTTGAGTACTCTGCTTTCTGGAACCCATTCATCCCAGTTTTTATTCCAACCACTGTAATGGATGAAGTATTTGACCTGTTTATCCTTTATGACAACTTTTACACACTTTGCTTCATACAGAAGAGGCCCATGAAAGCACAGCACTCTCTCACCCTCCTGGAATTTAGGCTTCGGGTCCTGCTTTGGTGCCATTTATAAAAGATTCACTCACCACCGCCGCCTCCTCCTTCTCCCACCACCCCTGACTACCGCCCCCTACTCTCTACCCCACCCAGCTCCGCGTCAGATGTGCCGTCAGGCACCGCCAACTCTACATCCTGGGCCCGATTTGCCAGTGTCTGCAGACCGCCCAGCACCGCGACCCGCGCAACTGCCTCTCCAGACTTCTTTTTTTTTTTTTTTTGGCCATTCTGAAAAAAATGGGGTCTTAGTTCCCCAATCAGGGATCAAACACAGGCCCCTGGCCATGGAAGTGCAGATTCCTAACCATTGGACTGCCAGAGAATTCCACAGACTTCTTTATGTCAGCATAATTCAACCACATATTTGTGTATAGAGCAATTATATGCTTTTCTCACTTGATAGTAGTTGTAAATCTGATTTAGAGTGCTACTAATATGCAATGTTAGAAGCTGTGCAAAGGAATGTGGCAACCTCGGGAGTTGAAAGTGACACTCAACCTTTGGTGGGCTGGTTACTGCTGACTGGCATCCCAGAGGGCTCATTTGGAGCGTAGCTCTACAACTTCCTGGGCAACTGTTTCCTCAAGCTGTTTTAGTACATAGGACCTCAGGAGCTTGACTGAGGCTCAAAAGCACTAAGTAATTTGTTTTGATCTGCAGCTATCAAATGGCCAAGCCAATAGGACATCTCAGGTGAAAGTTGTGGAGGTCAAGCCTGATATGTTTCCTCCATATAAGTACAGCTGCACTGTCACACTGGTAAGTGGAACTAAGTGATGGGTGGACACAGGGGTGGTTTGGTTGTGTGGTGGAGGGTGAGTAGGAGTCTGAGGGGCGTGGGGGGTGGTACTTGGGAGTGAGGGTAGGGTGAAGGCTCGATCATTGATTAGAAACATCTCGTCACTGGAACAAATCATAGTAGTTACTGAGTGAATCAGCTAGGTTTCTTGTTTTTCCCAAGTGGGATCTATGAAGTGTAGGCCAGCTGACCAAGGTATTACTCTTGAGAGTAGTTCTCTTGGAAAGTCACTGAGAATTCAATCAAGCTTCAGCATTCAGCCGTCTTTAGACCTTTTAGTGCTCTACATGTAAGTTTGAGAAATGTATTTTTTTCTCCCTAAAACAGTCACATTTGGTACTAGTATCTGATAGGGTTTGAGAAGTGATTTAGTAAAAGCAACTTATTTTGTTCAGCCTGGTGTTTCCCACCAGGGTTTTCCCTCCCCCGCTTTTATTTTTAACATAACATATTAACTCCCAGTAAACGACTGTGTGGCTCTGGGGTCATCCTTTTGCAGCCTAAGCAGCCTGGAGCAGTGAAATAAACACTAGATGTCAGAAGACCTAGTGCAGGAGTGGTTCTGGCTCTACTGCTGGCATGCCATCTGACCTTGAGGCTCTTTCCTTCTCTGGTCCTCAGTTTTCACTGTCTGTAAAATACTCTGTTGGCTTAGAAAGCATGTTTTGGGGCTTCTCTTGCTCAGTACTCTCTAATTTTGTTGATCTTAAGGTACCAACCAGTCAGGTAACCTTTGGCAGTTTCCCTGGATGAGTGAGATGCACAGATTTTGAGAAAGCAGCTAGATTTTTTAAAATTCAAGATTTTTAAAAATTCAAAAACTTCTATTGAGCACATTCTTTGTGCCGTGCCCTGTTCTGGGCATTTAGTAGGAACAAGACGACATAGTATGGTGGGTCATTGCCTTGTCCGGCCCTATCTTGGGAAGGGGGTCTCTCTCATCCTGGAGAACTGCTCAGGCTTCATTTTCCATAGGCCTAATCACTCCCTTCTTTGTGCCATCCATCCCTTCACTGTCTCCCCTGTGGCTATGGGAGGCCACTGGGAGCATCAATTGGTGGGGACTGCCCAGGACCCTCTCTTCAGCTGATTAGACTGCAGCTTGTTGTAAGAGCCTCAGTGCCAGAGCTGTGAGCTTGTGGAGGCCACCGGTCACAATATTTCTTCAGATGGAGCTTGAAGTCTTTGGTCCCCCTGGCCCTTTGTTAGAATAGACCTGCTTCACTGCTGATTGTCTGGACCCTGAAGGCATTTGAATTTCTGACCTTTGAGATTCAACTCATTTGTTTCACAGATAGGAGGACTTGCCAGAACTGTTCAGGCTATATTAAGACTGAAGGGGGATAAACACAGAAAAAGTATCTTGTTTCAAGGCTCTTTGAGAGCTGGTCTAAATCTGGGTTTGTAATTGCCACTCTCCTCTTTTCCCAATAGCAGGTCATCCTGATTCTTGGCTCTGCACAGGTGTAAATTGACTTGTAGAATTGAAATGTGGTCTTATTTTTTAGGATTTGGGCCTGGCTACATCACGAGGTCGGGGAAGGTGCAAGAATCCCTCTTGTAGCTATGTCTACACCAACCGGCATAAACCTCGGATTTGTCCCAGCTGTGGTTTTAACCTTGCCAAAGACCGGACTGAGAAAACCACCAAGGTTCTCGTGAGTTCCTTCCCCAAACACACCTCCCAGTCTTGGACAGGGCTCTGTTAGCAGTTCAGCTTTAGGAGAAATAAAAGGATTTCTTGGTACATATTGTAGTTAGCACCAGGACTGGAGCCAGGTTCTAGGTTCTGAACCTGGCCAGTGCCTTCTTTCTGGGCTTCCTTATCCTCTTGGCTAAGATAAGGGAGTTTATCAGATACCTTGATCTCCAAGAACCTTCTAGCTCAGTGGACCAAGAGTTCATTCACAGAGAAAAAAATAGCCAACACGGGCCTTAGTGAGGATTCTTAAGAAGAAAGGGTTAGAGAAGTTACATCGTTTTAGCTCTGAAGTTGTTGAAGGACCTGTAAAATAGAATTTTGGTAAATACAGAGTGGCCAGCCTCAGGACTTTGTAGATGAGATTGCTACTACTCAGGTTCCTTGCAGAGCATTTGACCAACCATAGCGCTTTACCTCTAGCTGTCTTGGCAGGCCTGCTCTCTGAAGTGGGACCAAACAGCTGGATAGTAAAACACATTCCACTTGGCTCCTTAGGGCTTGTTTTTGTTGCTTGTTTGTTTACTAGAACCAGGGAAAATGGGCAGTTTCAGGGGATCTCTGAATTTCCACGTAGGAATTTTTTTTTAAGTGAACAGAAAGTGTACCTACCCACGGCAGTGAACAGAATGACTGGGATGAACATAAAGCGAGATCTTAACTCATATGCTTTGGAGGGAAAGAGGATGTCTCACAGAACAGGTCAGGATCCAAAATGGAACCTGGCCACTCCAGATCTAACCCACACCTCACACGATGTGCAGGATGTGGGTGGGAGGGAAAGGTGTGCAAAATCCTCAAGGATAGGCATGAGTAGAGATGAGGAGGTAGGCAGTCTGATGTTCCATTGGGTTAGAGGAGAGAGTGTATAGGGAGGAGTATGGAAAAGACGTCTTAAAAGATTGGGACCATGTATCATGGAGGATCTTTAATGCTAAGACTAGGCAGTTTGTTTTTCAGGCAGTGGGGTCATACTGAATGTCCTTGAGCCATGGAGAGGCTCAGAAGGTTATGTCAGGAGGTCAGGGGGTTTGTGAGTGGACAGAACTAGAGAGGTTAGGGAGGATTTCTTCAAGCTGTTTTCTGTATATATGTGAGGGAGGGGGCTTTCCGGCAGTGAATCTCACCCCTAATCTTCAGATCTCTCTCTGTGCTCGAGCTAGTATTCTGAGGTTATTGTGAGAAAGAGAAGTGGAACTAAAAGGAAAACACACTGAGAATAGGAGTTGAGAGACCTGCCTGGAAGTGACCCTAAGTTACTTGCTTTCCCTATCCTGAATTTTAGTTTCCCCATCAGTAAAACAAAGCAGGCAAGGTGGATTAGATCTGGGCCTTCTATTCTTGGGGCCATGAGCTCTAGAGAAAACTCGAGTTGAGCTTCGAGGAGTCTCAAAACTGCCTGTGGGATGCTTCCATACCTTCTGTCACATTCTGTTACACACGGTGCCCTCTGCTGGCAGTGAGCTTTCCTTCTGGTTTCTCCATGTGGTTCATGTGCTTCTCTTCACTGCACATCAGCCACACCATGTCTTTTTTTTTCCTTCAAGCAAGTGAATGTTATTTAGTAAGCAGGGATAATTCCAGTTCAATATAAAGAAAATTGATTTAGATCTATAAATGTATACCCCAGATTATACCCCAGGGTATAAATTTTATACCCCAGATTAACTTTTTGTTTGTTTGAACTGTTTCCTTAAGTCAGTTTCCAGAGTAAAACTTTCAGTGCTCACATAGAAACACACATCTACATGGTTCTTGACAAGTGTTGGGACTCAAATTCAGAACAGATACTTTTGACAAATAAGAGAATACATATTCCCAGAATTAAACAAAATATCTGAAATAAAGTCTATCTGAAACATCACACATTCTATAATTATAACAGATAAAATTAGGGATAACCTGTGTCTACCATTGAAATAAATTATAATGGCATCCAGTCCTATCACTTCATGGCAAATAGATGGGGAAAAGGTGCAAACAGTATCAGATTTCATCTTCTTGGGCTCCAAAATCACTGCAGATGGTGACTGCAGCCACAAAATTAAAAGATGCTTGCTCCTTGGAAGAAAAGCTGTGACAAATCTAGATGGCGTATTAAAAAGCCAGAGACATCACTTTGCCACCAGCGGTCTATTGGCAGACCTTTGTTAGTCAAAGCCATGGTTTTTCCAGTAGTCGTGTTTGGATGTGACAGTTGGACTATAAAGAACACTGAGTGCTGAAGGATTGATGCTTTTGAACTGTGGTGCTAGAGAAGACTCTCAAGAGTCCCTTGGACAGCAAGGAGATCAAACCAGTCAATCCTAAAGAAAATCAGTCCTGAATTTTCATTGGTATTGAAGCTTCAGTACTTTGGCCACCTGATGTGAAAAGCCAACTCATTGGGAAAGACCCTGATGCTGGAAAAGACTGAGAGCAAGAGTAGAAGTGGGTGACAAGGGATGAGATGTTTGGATGACATCACTGACTCAATGGGATAGGAGTTTGAGCAAACTCAGGGAAATATTGAAGGACAGGAAGCCCGGTGTGCTGCAGTTCATGAGGTCACAAAGAGTCGAACACGACTTAGTGACAGAACAATAACAATAATTAAATATTAATTATTAATAGTAAATTATTAATGCATAAAAAGATTAAGATTAGTCTACAAAATGGAAATAATTTCTGATAAGTGTAAAAAATTCAGATGTTCTGGGTACTTTGCTTCAGTTCAGTTGCTCAGTAATGTCCAACT